TTCAAGGATGGTTTCCCCGGTCCGAAAAGTTCCTCGCCACGCGGCTTGTCGAGGACGGCTGGGCAGCCAGGATGCGAGCACGGAACCACAGAAACGTCGACGCCACAGTTCACCTTGAAGGCAAGTGGGCGTCCGTTGACCTGGATCTCAACGTACGGCCCGTTCCGATCCACCGCCGCAACGGATTGGAGCTCCGCGTGCCCGAGGCGCTTCTTTGAGCGACATATTGACAAAAAGTGGCCTCGCTGCTTGCAGTAGTTACAGGCCGTTTCCGCAGCTGGGCATTCCGACCGCCGGTGAATTTCGGGACCGCAGAAGACGCACTGCCCACTTCGGCTGCTTCTGAAAGCCTCTCGAACGTTGCTGTTGCAGGTTCGAGAACCCTCGCACCGGTCAGGTGACGGAGAGTTGCCAGAGTTGCCAGAGTCCCGTCTGAGGCCCCGTCCGTGTGCGCGGGTTTAAGTGAAGTCGCTACGTCCACGTACGCTACCGTAGGCGGTAGACCAGCTGTGAGGTACACGCGTTACTTCACGCGGCCGGTGTCTTCGTGCTGACTAACTTGCGCAAGTGCGTCGTCCAGGGAGAGATGGGGAGCGGCACAGCTTGTTCGAGAGACGAGAATCCACCAAAGCCACAACGAAACAGTCACGAACAAGACGGTCTTCAACTGCTGGTGACTGAGAGTTACGCTTGCCTACCATGTTCCGAAGGGCCGTGAAGACACTGTCGACGGTGTGTCCTGGCTGTTGCGTCCGCTTGTGGAATCGGGAGCTTCCGTAAACCTTGTTTATAGGACGCACGAAGTAGCTTGTAAGCCGCCGGGTGACTTCCGCGTTAAATTGGTAAGTAGTTGGTCTAACGTAAATGAAAAAAGTAATTTTGTGCCTTACCTTTTTTCACTGAAAGTTGGACATATTTAGTATCAGAATAGATAGTTGGGCGAGTGCGTAACTAAATATTCATATTGAACCGCTGCGACTGTACACGGACGAGGCGAGAAACTGGGGCCCCTTTTTGGACACTTGGCGAAAACATCGTCGAGAAATCCAGCGCACACTTGACCTTGGCGACGGCCTATTGTCACGAATGACAATTGATGAGGCGTTGATAACTGAAGAAAACTAAACATTTAATGGAGCGAACTTGTGCCCAAAATAAAGAAAACACAAAGAAGAAGAACAGAGCGTCGCGGGCGTCGAAGTCGGCGTGACAGCAGAGTCGAACGCTGGGGCGAAACTGACCCCGGCTTGCCACGCGGAGCCACTTTTGTACCCGCGTGGGCTTCTGGAGCGTTCGGCGTAGAAGGTTCGGCGCGTAGAACATTTTGACCTCGAATCAGCAAGACGGTTCTCGAATTTACCAGAATACTAGTCTGCAGGAATAAACAAAAAGATACGCCGCTTCCAGGAATCAAACCCTTGCTTTCCGCCTGGCAGCCAGGTACGATGACCGTTAGGCCACGCGCGCGCTGCCTACTCGGCCAGCTACGCGCGCGGCACTATCGCACACAGCCGCCGGATTTCTTGGCGGCGTTTTTCGGCAAGCGCAGAGATTGGGGCCCCTCTGGACGGGACCGAACGGGTTCGATTGATACCCCTGCCGCGGCCGTCCCTCCAAGGGAGAGAATCAAGCCAAAAGCGCATGCATGTCACGGTGTTCTCGTGCCTTTGCTATAACCGGCTCGACCATTCACTCAAAGTTAGTGCACCGCCATCCTGCGCTTTTGTTTGTGCCTCATTCACTTAGCAGATGGTGGGAAAGGCAAGGGAGCGACGAGCGCCGCTACGATGCTCGATTGGCGCCGTCGGACTTGAGTTGAAACGGACCATTACGACAATTATTTCCACCCCTTGGACGACCATTATTTCCACCCCTTGGACGACCATTACCTCAACCCTTTAAACGACCATTATTTCCACCCCTTGGATGACCATTATTTCCACCCCTTAAACCACCATTATTTCCACCCCTAAAACAACCATTAGTTCCACCCCTTAAACGACCATTATTTCCACCCCTAAAACAACCATTAGTTCCACCCCTTGGACGACCATTATTTCCACCCCTTGGGAACTGTTCGAGGCACGCAGGAATTGTCGCAAACACCCGAGCAGGTAGAACAGTTGTCGTCTTCACCGCGGGCTCGATCCTACTACTTATGATGGAGTGTTTAAAATATTTATGGGCCTAAAAATAGTAAAACGTCTGATATTGATGACCTCCAATTTAAATCCATTAAATATATTCTGGCCATTATTGCGCCATATCTTGTACACATCTTCAATTTGTGCTTGTCGTGAGGAGTTTCCTAGGAAAATGAAACCTGCAAAATTGTAAGTGCTGTATAAGGGTGATGACGTAATTTATTCGTCTAATTATAGGCCTATATCGGTAAAATGTTTTCTGAAAAGCTCGAAAAGATTATTTTGTGTCATTTAGATAGTTTTTTTGTCAAACACTCAGTACTTTCTGAGTCTCAGTTCTGTTTTAGAAAGAGAAAGTCTAATGAATCCGCACCCCTCTTCCAAAAAGAAATTATTCTACATAACATCGAAAACAAACTTTTGACAAAGCCTTTGATTGTATCAATCACAAAGCCTTTGATTGTATCAATCACAAAATACTTGTTGACAAATTACACCAGTACAGCATTCGTGGTCCCTCACTTTCACTTTTGTGTTCATAGCTAGAAGATCGTACGCAGTATGTGTGCCTTGATGAACATTTATCATCTTTTATGCCGATCAGATATGGTGTCCCACAAGGTAGCATATCGGGGCCCTTACCATTTAATGTTTATATATATGATATTATGAATACGGATGAAGACACTCATTTCATAATGTATGCAGACGACACCAGTCTGTTTCTTTCTGACGCGGATACAGATAACTTAATAATCGAAGGAAATATCATACTCTCCAAATTTGCAATATGCTCAAAGTCAAATGGGCTTAATGTTAATGAAACAAAAACTGAAGCAATATTACTTAGATCAATCAATAAACATGTAGCTCTACACAAAACACTCCACTTTAATTCTAAGCTAGTTGAACTAGTGAAAAATCATAAAACAATGGGTGTTGTATTTTCAGAAAACTTGTCTTGGGATGTATATATAAATCATATTTCCAGTAAATTATGAAAAATCGTAGGTATTATTGCTTGACGTCGTTTCATTCTTCACAAAAATATAACATTACAAATATATCATGCATCATTTTAATCACAAATAACGTATTGTCATTTCATTTGGGGTACGATGACAAAATCAGATCTAAACAAAATACTATTGCTTCAAAAGAGAGTGTTACACTTTATTGGAAACGTTCGTTATTTATTGCACACCTAATCATTATTTCAAAAATACAAAATTATCAATATAAATCGAATGTATGATACCTTCTGACTATGTAATTTTGTGTTTCATCACTAGAAATGACTGTTTTTTTTTTTTTTTTTAGGCAAACATCAAATTTACATAGAAATATAACCACCATCTGCACCCGCTGCTCGGAGGAATGGAGAGTGTCCCGTTATCGTACAAACTACGGCTTAATTGCAGTCCCTACATTATAACGTACCCACATTACTCAATAAATATTCTTTATGTATTCTTGGCATTTATAGTGTAAATTGTAAATCACTGTAGCTACTTTTTGTATATTATGTATTGAGTTCTGTTAACCTTGTAGTTAAGGCGTTGTTTGCATATTTATTACCCTGATTGTTTTTCCTGCATCTCTGTCACCATCTGCCAAGCTCTTGGGGCCCGGACCTCGTCAAGTCAACAAAGATTGGCTTTCTTGTCCGTGGCTCCGGCTTCCGTAGTTGCATATGCGAATAAATGATTTGATTTGATTTGATTTGATTGAATCTCTCGATGTTCGGGATCATCGGAGATGATAGCTGCTGGGTCTTGCGTTCGGTCTAGAACCTGGTTCACACATTCGCGTTCTTTCGTAACCGCACAGTAGCACACGGACGCCATCTGGAAGGGGAGGATTACTTTCCTTTATTTTCGGTAAAGTGGAAGCTCCTCCACTGCAGCAGGGCGAACGCTGGAGAGGGGCGACCTCCTTTCCTGCGTTCGCTCTGTCAAAGTGGAAGAGGGAGAGTAGGGGGGGAGCTTCCCTACCCGCCCCCCCCCCCCCCCCCTTGTCGTAGTCTTCACCTGTCACCAACCATAGCGTATAATCAAACTGGGGGGTTTTTCTATGTTAAACATAGAAACATGGAAAAACCACTTTACCACTTTACCACAAAAACCACTTTACGCAAGCGACAGTTTTCTATCGAAAACTGTCGCTTGCGACATAATTATTTCGGGCTCACGGTGAACTACTGATACGTATAAAATCAAATCTACACAGACTGTACTTGTTTCGGGGCTAACCGATAGATGGCGCGATTGTGGTAAGGCTGAATCGCAATTAAGTGATTCAGCGAGCAAACAGACGAGCGACAGCGACTGCGGCGAGAGTCAGCGACGAGCGACGGAGATTTCTCACTATCGCTGGTCGCTTTGCTCGGCTTTTCAATTTCTAGAAAATGTCGCTCATCGCCTTCGTCCCTTGCTCCCGCCGCTTTCCTGCGGTTCACCTCGTCGCGCGACTGCCCGATCGACAGCGAAGATAATCGCCGTCGCTTGTCTCGTCGCTCGCCAAATCGCTTACATGCGGTTCCTACTTTAAGCTGTTAAGCTACTGCGTGAAACGGCCTGCTTTCGTCACGCTGGGCACGACAGGCAAGTTCGCCTGCCCTTTGCGCACCTCTTGCGTTTGTTTACCCTCCACATGCGCCAACGTGCTTGTCTTTCCCCCGATGTCGAGCAATGAAAGTGCGCACTCGCCTGCCTCGTCATCGCGCGCGTCGCGCTCTCGATGTCGGTTCGCGTGTCCCTATTTGCCTTCCGATGTTCCAGGGACGCGGTGTTTTGGGCCACTTGCTCTCCGTATATGGTCTGCTCACCGGCGGGTCTTTCCTTTTTGCAGAACACAATGGCGGACGAAGACCTGGTGATCACGGGCTTTTCGGCCTACTTTCCCCAGGCCAACCACCTGGCCGAGTTTCGGAAGAAGCTCTACGATGGCGTCGACATGGTCACCGACGACGAGGCACGCTGGCCCAAAGGTACGTCGCGCCGAGCAAACCGCCCGTGCCTCGGGCTTATCTCCCCAACTGTGTCTTCCTGGCAAAACTGCTTGACGGGCTACGGAGCTACTGCGCGACCGCAACGGCAGGATAGGGAGTGAGCACGGGACCGGCCAAACGATGATGTCAACTCATGCTTTCTTGTTGTTTGCACAGGTTGCTCCAATTCCTTCGCTAAACGCTAGAAAAACAAGTGATGTGTGTTTACTGCTGTTCCCGTGCTCACAAGTGCTTTGTGCAACTATGCGAATGTGTTGACGTAATGGGCCTTCTTCTCATGGTTTCTGGAGACGTCAAGTTTAACCCCGGCCCGATGAGTGATGTACAGATTAAGCAGTTTAATGAAATGCACCAAATGTTGAAAGTCGTCAGTGAGCGTTCGTTCAGAATAGACCAAGCTCAATCAGGAATTCTTCCCTCAGTAAGCGAAGTAAAAAAAAAAACCAAGAAGCCGTTAAAGTGGATATAACTGATATAAAAGCTGGCCTAACTGATGTTTAAAATAAAACTACGGCTATCACTCAACTTTAGCAAGACGTCAACACGGCACAAGGCTTCGCAGAGGTGATGCAGAAGGAAAACGAAGCACTGAGAGCGCGTTTGGACGACGCGGAAGATCGTTCACGCCGGGACAATCTAGTTTTTATTGGGATTGTTGACACACTAACCGAAACTTTTTCACAAACGGAGAAATAAATTTTAAATATTTTTCAGCAGTCGCTTAATCTCCAAGTTGCGAATGAAGCAATTATCCGGGCCCATAGAATTGGAACATCCTGTCAGACAAAGTGCCGCCCAGTCATTCTGAAGTTCTCATCTTACAAGATTATAGACCAAACTCTGCAACGAAGGATAACGCTTAAGGCTGTTCGCATTTCTGTGAGCGAGGACCACTCGATTGGAATGCGTCAAGCACGAAAAAAGCTGATCGAATTCGCGAAAGAAAAAGGCGACAAGTTTTAACTACGGCACAACAAAATGCATATTAACAACATATGCTACGCTTATGACATGGTGAATGACAACGCATATGAAGTCGGCCCCTCCGTGTCTCCGATACCGTCTACCACGTAAAATCTGGCTCCCAGCGGTGAATCGCCTCGGCAGTGGATATCGAGTTAACGGACCGCGATGTGTAAAGTGCCTGCGTCACCTTTCTCGGATGTATCGGTGATATACACAAATATTAGAAGCATCATTAAACAACGAGATGACTTGTGCTTAATTATTGATTCAACTGATGCTCATGTAATTGTTTTAACGGAAACTTGGTTAAATGGGAAGGTGCGTAATGATGAGAGTTTTCGCGCCAATAAAAAGTATAATATTTACAGGGACGACAGAGTAGATAAGAGCGGCGGTGGAGTGTTAATTGCAGTAGCAGCTTACATTAGATCTTTCTGTATAAACACGATCTGTGATTTAGAAATTATTTGGGTATGCATTGTTAACAACCATCAAAAGTGGATAATAGCAGTGTGCTATCGATCACCCTCCTAGGCGTCATCATTTGTTACAGCCTTGCATGGTTCATTAAATGACCTTATGGTGCGTTATCCCAGTCCACCTATTTTCCTTTTGGGCGATTTTAATTATCTTTCTATTGTTTGGTCTGAATCTATACTTGCAACGACTTTATCTTATGAATGCAAAGACTTTGTCGCCCCGTGTCTAGATTTTAATTTGACTCAGCTAGTCACGAAACCCACGCGAGTGACCCCATTGATAGCAACTGTCTTGGATCTTGTTCTAGCAACTCATTCTGATATTGTTTCTCCGATAATACACCTTGCAGGAGTTAGTGAATATTCCATATTTCATTTCGATGTTAAAGCAGCAGTGCCTATGTCATCAACTCTCACATAGCAAATTCGTAATTATGCTAAAGCTGACTTCATCAAAATTAACATTGACCTCGAAGCTTTTTTTGACGTGTTTTTAGCAGGTTTCTCGAGCCGATCAGTAGAAGAAAATTGCAACTTTACAAAACCAAGGTACACATGCTTATCAATCAGCATATTCCACTCAGAGGAGCGTTTGAAAACTCACAGTCACCCTGGTTTACTAGGGCCCTAAAACGCCTCTCCAATAAGAAAAAGCGTTCATTCCGCGCAGCGAGATTCAGCACATGTGAACGTCGCTGGTCGAACTATCGCACTGCTGCTTAAGTTTATGAAAAAAAGCAATTGAAGACGGCAAAATTGATTTTTTCACACGCAGCTTACCAGCAATGATGACAAATAACCCTAAGCAATTTTGGAGCATTATGAACAAAAAATCCCATTCTTCAGTCACACTAATGTCTTCAAGTGGTGAAAGTATGCCTAGCGAAGTCTGCGCAAATGTATTTAATTGCGTTTTCATTGATTTTTTTTTGGGTGAAAGACGCCTTGATAACCACTGCTGGTTAGCACTGATTACCTGCCGATGAATTCGATTTCTCTTGATTATGTTGGAGTAATTTCAATTATAAAATCTCACATCCTCCTTCTCAACAGGAGTCGATGGTATCGATTTAAACTTCCTTAAGAATACTAAATTTTACTCATTCATAATATTAACTATGTTGTTCGAACAGTCGAATAAAGATGCCGTTCTTCCTCTCGACTGGAAGATAGGGCAGATGGTACCTATACTCAAAGCTGGTAACGCATTCTGGTCAAATTACCGGCCCAATCTTAATAACCAGCATACCTTGCAAACTACTTGAGCATGTCATCTTCTCCCACATTGCCAACTTTTTAGAGTCTGACAATTTTTTTAGCCTTTCCCAGCATAGATTTCGAAAGACATTTTCATGTGAGACTCAGCTTCTCTCTTTCACCCATGACCTCCATTGCATTTTAGATCGAGAATTCCAGGCAGAGTGCATTTTCCTAGATTTTGCAAAAGCGTTCGATAAAGTGTCTCATAAACTTCCGATTCTGAAACTTTCTAAGCATAATTTAGATTCTAACATACTTTCATGGATTCAATCTTTTCTGTCTGATCGCTCGCAATTTGTTACTGTCAATAATAGTAAGTACTGTCTTGTATCTGTTACTTCTGGTGTTCCTCAGGGATTTGTTCTAGGGCCCTTGATATTTGTAATTTATATTAACGACCTCCCGGTTAACATCTCCTCGTCTGTTTGTTGGCGACTGTGTCCTTTATCGTGAAATAATAAATAATCATGACACCAGCGTTCTACAGTCCGACATTAACACTGTCATTGAGTGCTGTGATTTATGGTCAATGAGCCTTAACGCTAACAAATGTAAGTCTATGCGTGTATCTCGACAATCTTCTGGCAATCCAAACTATTTCCTTGATCAGGTTTATAAGGAGCGGGAGTCCTCTTATAAATACCTAGGCGTGCACATAACATCTGACCTTTCATGGAAGAATCATATTCAGTATGTTTCGTCTGACGCTAACCGCATGTTAGATTATGTTAAACGAAATTTTTCATTAGCTCCAGTTGCACTAAAGTTGACCCTTTATAAAACATTAATTCGTCCAAGGTTTGAATATGCATTATCTGACTGGGATCCCGGAAAAGTCACCCTCATCACTGCATTGGAAGCGGTTCAAAACAGATCAGCTCGTTTCATCCTTTCTAACTACCACAACACGGCTCGCGTGCCCGCCATAAAAGCTACTCTATTATTGCCGCATTTAGCCTTGCGCCGTGGCATTTCCCGCCTTTCTTTATTCCATAAGATATATTTTGACAATTCAATCCTGCGGGACAAACTAATATCCTGTCCTTTTTACCTTTCTTCTCGCAACTATTACAATCACAAGGTTGGCATTCCAATTTCTAACACAACAACATTTCATTCATCCTTCGTCCCTCGTACATCACCAGAATGGAACCACCTTCCCTGGACAAATACCACCATCAGGGACAATGACATTTTCAAAACTGCAATCACTAATCTTTCATTTGTTGAGTGTCTTTAACCTATTTATAGGGTTGTTTTTCTTTTCTGTGTTTCTCTTTCCGCTCCCCGTCTGTAATGCCTCGGGCCTTGAGGGAAAATGAAATAAATAAATAACTCGGTGAAAACTCCCCCTACTTTTTGTAAGAAAAACAAAATACTACACATAATACCAGGGCGATTGAAAAATTATCCGCCTCCTGGCTGTAGAATATATTAGTACACAAGCCTCTCGGGGATTATCGCAACCTCAGCCGATTTGCAAATCTAACATCTACTGTCACTCGTCTGTCCGGCAGACACATGAACGCTCAACGTCGGCATCAGTCCTGAACGCGAACGGCGTCCATTGTAGCTGACATTGTGCGTCCTTCCTTACGTATTCATTCAAACATTTCTTTAGCGGCATAATACTTTTTTTTTTACAATTTGCACAAAGTCTTATATACGTATTCGCACCGGAGACACCCTCAGAAGAAAATAAACAGTGGCTTGTGCAGACCTTGTGCTCCCTTGCCAATCGCAATTGAGCAGCTATTCGCAACCTTCAGCGATGGTGGTTTTGCAGTGTAAGAGTCGCGCTTCCTAGCTGCCGGATGATCGGCATCGGAATAAAGATGCTTGCCTACACCTTCCAGACATGAAAAAAGAAAGGCTGCGACTTACGCGTCAAAGACCCAGCGTCTTACAGGTGTTCTACGACGATCACCTGGGTCAGGGGTCTCCAAACGTTTTTGGTAAGGGGCAGGATTCTGGATTTGTCGCAGTCTCCAGGGCCAGAAAAACATTGAGTAAATTCTAAAAAGATAAACCTAGATAATCATTTAAATAGAAAAAGTTAAATTTAGAGTAAAATTAAGAAAAAATATCTTAGATGGGTATACTTTAATTTGAAATGCATAATTAAGCTAATTATGACATTGCACAATACTTGGGACCCATGAAACTCACTAAGCATAAAACAAAGCGCAATGAAACAGGCATACTATCACAAAGCGATATAATGGGAGCGGTTGAACTGATGCTAACAATATTCGATAGTTACGACACAAGGAC